ATACTGCTGCTGCTGCTGCGGTGCGTACTGCTGCTGTGGAGGGTATTGCTGCTGCGGTGGTGGCGAGTTTTGATACTGGTTGTACTGCGGCGGTGGCGCGTTTTGGTTATACTGTTGCTGCTGGTATGGTGGTGCGTTCTGGTATGGCGGCGGGCTGGAAGGACCGTTCTGGTACTGTGGAGCTCTCGATGCTGGAGGAGCCTGAGAGTAACCAGCGCCATATCCTCCGGATTGAGAGTAAGGTGACCCCGCTCCCTGGGAGTAGCCACCGCCGCCAGCCGGTGGAGCTTGTGTCCCTGCTGCTGAATATCCGCCTGGAGCAGCCGAGTATCCTCCCTGCCTTGGAGGCTGCTGCGAGTAAGGTGCCTGACCACCACCTCCTGCGGCCGAGTATCCTCCCTGTGCTGGAGCTTGTTGCGAGTAAGGTGATTGACCACTTGCGGCTCCAGCAGCCGAGTATCCACCGGGAGCTGGAGCCTGCGAGTAAGGCGACTGAGCAGCTCCGTATCCGCCTTGCTGCGAGTAAGGTGGCTGGCCGCCTTGTGCGTAAGGTGACTGGCCAGTCCCTGCTGCTGCGTATCCACCTTGAGATGGAGCTTGCGAATAAGGTGACTGACCATATCCACCACCCGAAGCTGGAGGCTGCGAATAAGGAGACTGAGTGGCTCCATATCCACCTGGAGCTTGCGCCTGTGGTTGCGTCCCGTATCCAGTTTGCGGCTGCGAGTAACCACCCGGAGCTTGGGACGCTTGAGCTGGAGCTGGAGTTGGAGCTGGAGCCGATGCTGCTGCTGGGGTTGGTGCTGGTTGGGAAGAAAGTAGTCCCCCGGAAGCGTCTGAAGTTGCTGCTGGAGCCGGAGCTGCCGGTTGCGCGTCTTCTGCTGGTGGAGCCCCTGCCGATTGCGCTCCCGGCATTGGATATAGTTCCGCAGGTGTAGTTGGAACGCCAGGAGCCGGTTGAGTCGCGGCTGCTGCAGCCGCTGCTGCCGGAGGGAGGTGATCAGTCGTTCGAGGAGCCATTGCCGGCACTTTGATAGTTTTCTTCTCCTTGATGACTTCCAGTACCTTGTTAGCTTCGTCGATGAAGGCCTCGTAACCTTCAATGTTTCGGATCACAATGTCGATCTGACAGAATGCATGTATCAGAATCAGCGTAAGAAAGAACAGAGAGAAAAATAAAGGAAAAGAGAAGAAAGAAAAGGAAGTGCTTACTCGCTCAAAGCCTTCGCAGCTGTCTTTAAGAGTTCGAAGCGCAACTTCTGCGCCATCCGCATAGGGGTACCTGAGCGTGATTGTTAGTAACTACCCCAAATAAAAGAAATGCCATACCCGTATATATTGCAAGACAAGGGCGGAAATGCAAGATATTTTAACTTCTCTTTGCGAGCAACCAAGAGAGCAGTCCTGCAGAAGTAGACTTTCCGTGAGAACAAAAAAACCGGAAACAGAAATGCTGCACCTGTAAGCTTTTTCTAGAGTTGGATCAGACTCTCGAACACCTGTTTTCTCGTTTTTCTTGTGAACAGCTCCGACTGTATGAATGACACGATGTACAGGAAGATCAAAGGCTCTAATACAAGAAAAACGAAAAAACAAAACGAAAAACTCAATACACAAACTAGAAACAACGACAAAGGTACCTCGTACTGATAGCATCACCCATTTCAGCCTTGATTCCCTGAGGAGCAACATCCGGGAGCCTTTGAGTGCATTCCAAGAGCTTCGAACCAGCAGCTTTGAAAAGAACTACAGAGAAACACACACACGCATTGGAACTATTAAAATGCATTTGGAGTAAAAGGTGCGAATTACCTGCATTCACAGCTGGTCCAGTGTTGAGCTTCTTGTTTGCTGGAGCAATCTGCGAGGCAGGAAAAAAAAAACGAAAAGAAGAACACGAACCTTACAAACGAAAGAAGAGAAGCATAAGAGAGACATACCACTGCATCCTGCTTGCCATCCACAAACCACTTGGACAAGTCCCCAAAGTAAATGGTGCACAGACAAGTTGGCGAGAGCTTGAAGTGTTCTCGCTGCAAGAGCTCCGTCGGTGGCTTTGGCGGTGTCAGCCATTCCATCACCTTGGACTTCTGCTTGGTGGGATCATAAGGCCGCGGAGTTCCGGGCTTTGGACGAGGCGAGCCTGGCAATCCAGGAATCTGGCTCCCTGGAAAGTTGAGTCCCAAAGACCCAGAAAATCCCGAGAAGGGAGGCGGCCGCGAGAACTTCCTATCGGAGGTAGCCGTGGACGCCGTTGGCCTGGTTGGGAGCTCTTTGGGAAGACTATCGGCAGTGCCATTTGTTCCAGACGGCGGTGGCGAGCCTGGAGCTCCAGTGCACGCCCTCACACTGAGAGAGAGCGACGAATTCCTGGTTGCGGCGGGCAAATACGCGAAGTTCCCGGGCCTCACATCGCCAAAGAGGCCAGAGGAATGGATACCTAGCGGAGGCGAGACCCTCGCCTGGCTCACAGCCGCGAGCTGCATCGTCCAGGAATCCCTGCGCGGCCGGGAAGCTCTCAGCGCCGGATTGCGAGAAAATGCGTCACGAATCTCACGGCCATACCTCGGAGAGCGCGGAGGAGCACAGCACCTTATCCCTTCGCGAGAAATATACGTAGGGCTTATAGCAGGGTTTATGAAAGATCTATCTAGGGGCAATCCCGACCGTCGGTTATCAAGCATCTGAAGCCGTCGGATCTAGATATTTCTTTTTTAAAACGAGGCTTTCCGCGCGAAATGTTCTTGGATGGTTTGATCTAATCACATCGATTTTTTCCCAGGAGATCACATCCCAGCCACTAGAACTAGTGGCCATTGCTCGAAATCGATAGAAAGAACCAGGGCATGGAATTCGTCTATTTGGACCACGCGAGAGGATGATTCGCGGAATCAATCTCTTTTAAATATAGCTCCCACACCACGATGCGATAAGATTCTTCTGGAGTTCCAGGTAGTGTTCTACTCGAGCCCTTGGTAGAAGAGATATTCTAGCTCCCATGGCCACCATGAATGGATCGCCCAAGGTCGATCCAGACGCCCTCGTCGATGCCTGGCTCGCGCGATTGGATTCCTCTCTCGCCTCCGGCGATGCATCGGCCGCTGCCAATCTCTTCGAGGAATCCACTTCGTTCTGGCGGGATCTCATCGCGTTCACCTGGAACATCGTCACGGTCGAGGGCCGGTCACAGATCCACGCCATGCTCCAATCCACGCTCGAATCAGTCGCGCCCAAGGGTTGGGTCCGCAACGGTACCGCCAGCTACAGCGCGGACTCGGGCGTCATTGAGGCCTGGATCAAGTTCGAGACGCGCGACGCGGTATGTACGGGGCATTTGCGCCTAGTGGCCACTACTTCCCTCTGCCGTACGCTACTCACCGCCATGGAGGGGCTCAAGGATTTCCCAGAGAAGAAGGGCCATACGCGGCCCAAAGGTGTGACGCACGGCGTCATACGGCACCGCGCGTCATGGCTGGACGGGCGCAAGGAAGAGGAGCGGACGCTGGGCAGTACCGTGCAGCCCTATTGCGTCATTGTCGGGGGCGGGCAGGCGGGTATCGGGCTTGCCGCGCGGCTCCGGCAGCTCGGCGTGCCGTGCATCGTGGTAGAGAAGAACCCGCGGCCGGGCGATTCGTGGAGGAGTCGCTACAAATCGCTGTGTCTCCACGATCCGGTGTGGTATGATCATCTTCCCTATTTGCCATTCCCGGAGAACTGGCCGATCTTCACGCCCAAGGACAAGATGGGAGATTGGCTCGAGGCTTACACCAAGATCATGGAGATCAACTACTGGACCTCCAGCGAGTGCCTGGGAGCTCGATTCGATCCACAGTCCGGGGAGTGGGAGGTGAAGATCCTGCGGGATGGGAGCAAGGAGGTGACCTTGCGACCCAAGCAGCTCATCCTGGCGACCGGGATGTCAGGATTTCCCAATGTGCCACGAATTCCCGGGCAGGAGGAATTCGTGGGCGATCTCCATCACTCGAGCAAGCATCCGGGAGGCGAAGCTTACAAGGGGAAGAGAGCGGTGATCCTGGGATCCAACAATTCGGCCCACGACATCGCCGCCGATCTCTGGGAGAATGGCGCCGCGGAGGTGACGATGATCCAGCGATCCTCCACCCACGTAGTTCGATCCGAGTCGCTCCTCCAATTCGTGATGAAAAACACCTACTCGGAATCGGCGGTAGAGTCGGGGCTCACGACTGACAAGGCCGACATGATCTTCGCGAGCGTGCCATACAAGATCATGGGCGATGTCAATCGACCAACCTACGATGCGATCCGAGCCCACGACAAGGATTTCTACGCCGCGCTCACCAAGACTGGATTCATGCTCGACTTTGGCGACGATGACTCGGGGCTCTTCATGAAGTACCTCCGCCGTGGATCCGGCTACTACATCGACGTGGGCGCATCCCAGCTGTTGATCGACGGCGAGATCAAGCTCCGCAGTGGCGTCACCATCGCGTCGCTCAAGCCGAGCTCGGTGGTGCTGAGCGACGGTACGGAGATCGCGGCCGATGTGGTGATTCTGGCCACGGGGTACGGATCCATGAACCAATGGGCCGCGAAGCTAATCTCCCAGGAGGTGGCGGATCGCGTGGGCAAGTGTTGGGGGCTGGGATCGAACACGCGCAAGGATCCCGGGCCGTGGGAGGGGGAGCTCCGGAATATGTGGAAGCCCACCGCGCAGGAAGGGCTGTGGTTCCATGGTGGGAATCTCCACCAGGCTCGTCACTACTCGCTCTATCTGGCGCTACAGCTCAAGGCGAGGATGGAGGGAATCACGACCCCGGTGTATGGCATGCCCAAGGTCCACCACCTCAGTTAAGTCAAATCAACTAGTCAAATTTGTCAATGATAGTCAAACATTTAAAATTTGAAAAAAGTAATCCGGTATGATCAGCTTCTTAGGTTTTGCTAGCGCCCGTGGTTGCAGGGCGCAGCGCACATCTGAAGCATCACTTCCTGGGGAACGATGCTCGTCCCACAGCAATCAACGTTACGCAGCGGATTTTTGTCAGCTGCAAGAGACGAGGAGCACTCACTGGAGGGATTGCGGCCAGGCCGGAATCATGCAGATGAAGCTGAATTAGTGGCATCGCTTCTTATCCACTACTTCTGGCGCTAAGACGAATTATTTTCCATTAAACAAAGTTTAGGTGGATCTTTTTGTTGGCAGTTGTACCATCAGGAAAAAAAGGAAAGTTGAATCTAGTTCTTTGTTTCCTTGATTGGGATGAGCTAGAGAAAGAAGACAAAGAGTACACATGATATACTCATAACTCCCCTTATATATAAAGAAATATATAACATATAACACAGCTCTTCAACTGATTTGGAGGGCAGTAACAGAGCAAGCATATTAGTGAGCACCTCATCAAAGGTTTTGGTTGTGACATGCCCAAAAGCAACAAGCTTGAACAGGCACAAGTCAATTTAAAAGCACTATTAGAGAGTTACTTCAAAACTAGTTTTTAAACCTCATTATCCCTACTATACTTTTGGTACCCCCCCTCCACAGATCCACCGTGAGATAGGATGTGCAGTTCCCCAAAGAGGAGAAATATTTTAGCTCACCAGATCCAGCGCGGGGGTAGAAGGCGCTGAATTTGCCTTCCAATTCTAGTTTCTTACCAGACAAGGAAATGGCCAGGCCTCGCACGAATTTCTGAACCGCTGGAACGATCGCCAGCGCTCCCAGGACGTGCGAGAATTTTTAAAGAGACCCCTCGCGAATCAAGACCCACCATAAATCCAAAGTAAGCTGAGCATAGGCTGGATATCCAGATCTAGGGCTGGGCGATTTAGGAGGAGAAAGGGTCGCTATGGCGAGTGATGAGGATTTTGTGGTTCTTCTCAGGGCCAAAGGGCCAGATCTACCAAAGGGAGTTCTTGATCGAGATGGTGAGGGTGTGGAATACTCGTTCGTGGGGCCTCGGCGCTATGCAGATGGAAAATCTCTCTTGGAGTACTTAGGCGATGGGCAGTATTACGTTGCCAGGGAACATCAGGGGAGGTATGGATGGCAGGAGCTAATAGCGGAGCTACAGCGTGTGCCAAGAGTTGCGGATTGTATCCATGTCTTCGAAAAAGGTATAACGTCTTTGTGTTTCTTTTGATCTTAGAGGGGATCTTGGCTTATTTTGTTGTTGGAAATCTGATGTTCTTCTAACGCACAGGTAAGATTGGAGCGTGGCTATCGCTGTGGTGCCTTGATCTTTTGTCTGACTGCATCGTTTGTCGTTCCTTCTAAACACTATCTTTTGTGATTTTGCAGTGGCGAGAAGAGAGCCCATTACCAAAGGTACTGAACGTCTGTTCAGTAGCGTCCTTTATCAATACCGTTTGTTTGTTTTGCAGGGCTTCTTCAGAAGTTTGGAGATAAACTCTCCTCTGTCGTTGCTGTCGTCCAACGCACAGGTAGGATTATTTTTGTCTGATTGCGGTTTGTCTAAACTGTTTTTTAAAATTTTTTTATTTTGCAGTGAGAAGCAAGCCCATTACTAAAGGTATTGAACGCGTGTTTGTCCTTTATCAATAGCATTTGTTGTGCAGATGTTGTGGAAGCTATACTACAGACGTTTGGCGATGACCTCTCAGACAGCATTTCCAGCATGACCCCTGCGCACGCGTTCAAAAGAAAGTTCTCGCTCACCAAGGTTCCAATTTGCCAGATAAACGTTTCGGGACGTTGGCAACCGAGTCTTTTGTGGCATGGTCTGGAGCAGCCTCTTGGTTCTAGAGATATTCTTTCATTGTTGAGAATCAGCAACCCCAGTCTTTTGATTCTATTCGACGTCTCCGGAGCCGGAAAGACGCGTTGCTTATACGAGATTGCGGCACAGCAGACCTGTCTTTACTTCACTGGCGTGTGTTCCGGTTCTCCTACTGCTGATGGCTCCCGGGACCTGTTGGTCGTGTCCGAGACACTGCAGAGGCTGTATCCAACAGGTCCGATTCCAGTTTCATCCCTCAAGACCTGTTTGAGGGCGGTGCTCCTGTCAAGGCTTTTCATTCACCGCAAATGTGACGACCTCCTCAAGCCACTGAGCAATTTGACATTTCTTTTCAAGCAGGTTATGCACCAGCAGCTCAACTATACTCAGGCTGACCCTTGGGCCCATTTAACCGGGTGCATCTTGGCGCTGGCGACGTCAGTTGATGATCTTCCTGCATTGGAGTCCGTGTTGAGCAAGATGCTCCGTGCGTACACCTGGGACTGGCCGATTATTTTGGACGAGTGCCAGGAGGTGAACAGATATCTGAAAGACAGGTTCATGGCAGGAGATGGGGAGACGGGCAGCCTTAGACGATCAATGCTTGATAAGTTTGTTATTGCTCTCCAGGATGCTGGGTTCAACAACAAAGTAATCTTTGCTGGCACTGGGAGATCGCTGTATCATGTGGCCACTCACATCTCCGAGGTATATTGTATGCGTTCCTGCGTTTTATGGCTAATGTTTGTGTCCATAGACTATGAAATTCCGTGTGAGCATCTATTGGTATACAACCTTTGGCGAGTTTCGGGATGGTCAGGCCCTGCGGCAATATGCTAGCAACATATTGGAGGATTGCAGCATCATTGACTTTGAGAGGCTCGGGGTGCTGTACAGAGGAAGATATCGGACGTTTGTTACTGCTCTTGAGCAGTATATCCTTTTTAACCCGCCTGCAACCGCAGCTACAGAGTTTTTCTTGAATTATGCCAAAGAGACAACATCCATGAGGTATGTGAAATTTCGCCAAAAGCGGCAGAGCTTCTCGACTGATGATTGGAATGTTACAGGGGTGTATCTTGGACGGGACCAAGCAAGAGGATAAGTCCTGCAGATATTATGAACACAGTGAACAGGACAGTGCTTGATGATGTCTACCGATTTTTTTCAGGAGTCCCGAGTGATGAACTGGCGGCAGTGAAGGCTCTAGTTCAATCAGTTGTTGCGAACCACTTCTTCGGTACAGGAAAGATGGTCGTGATGAATCCAACGTTATCACTGGTGGAGTTTGGACTTGGGAGAGTCCAGTATAAAGGACACAGGCTGATGAAGTGGATGTATCAACATCAAGACGGAATTATTGGCCATTCTGACACAAGTGAAAAATGCCGAGCTGTAGAGATCTTCGAGCCGCTGGTCTGTCGTGCCCTGTGGCACTATTATCAGGAAAATTCCTCCTTGCAACGGATCCAGCAGCATCGTTTTCTGGAGAAGGCCGAAATATATGCCAGTGCTACAGGGGAGGTTTATGAAACTGCAGTTGCTGAGATGATTGGGGAGCACTTAGATGGAAGGTGTCTGGCCGACCTTTTCTCATCGTGGAACACGGAGCCGATTCCGTCCATCTACAACAACACTGCAACTCTTGCTAGGCCGAAGATTGATAACCAGAACCTCATCGGGACAGAGACGGAGGACTTTCGATTAATCGATTGGATAAACAGCGTTACTAGTGGTAAAGACAACTTCTTTACTTTCTTTTCGACAGGCATGAATAAGACTTGCGGGCCAGATATATGGTGGTTTCTGACAGTTACGGAAGTGGCAAAACCGGCTGTAGGTGAGCACGCAGACAAGCTTCAATGCACCGGTGTGCCAGTGACAACTTTCATCATATGTGCAGCGCAATTGAAGACTCTCCAGAAAATGGCAATGGGTGACTATGTGTCTTCGTTGGATTTCAACAAGCTCTTTTTGCACAAGGGTGGTCAAGGATATAAATTAGTTGTGAAGAGAAAAGAGGATGAGGAAGGTGCGAAGCGAGTGAGGGAACTTGCAAGGTTTGGGTGTCTCAAGCTTGTGGTGATGACAGATTTTGTAGATTTGATGAAGTTCCAGCCAAAGGTTCAACACGCAGCAAAGTTGGAAAAATTGAACACACATTGTGAACAGGAACAAATTTCGGCATTACTTGGGGTTATTGATGGTACAAACATTTGCATGTTTGACGAGGAATGGTTGATTGACAGTGTTAAGCAATGTAATTGAATAAAAATCTTTCTTTCTTTTAAGGTATATCTAACTATTACTTATTTTGCATAATATTGGACATTAAAAATGTGGACATAAAAACTAAAGCTGGTGTTCTTGGAAATTAGAGCAAAGAAAACCACTTGGAATTCAACACAAGAATTGAAAGTTGAGCTTGGACATCAATCCCAAAGAGGAGCTTGCAAAGAACAAAGTTGCATTTTCAATGGTGATCTTGCATCTGAAGCATTCTAGATTAGGAATGTGTCTACAATGTTTTCTTCATCACCTAACTTAGTATGAAGAGGTTGGTGTTTTCAAGGCACAAAAGGTGGTGATACTCAAGGGAGATTTGAGGATGACCATATGGTTTCATTGCCAATGAAATACTCCTTTATCCCCTCCTTGAAGGAAAAGAAAATTTGAAACACTAGCTCTATTTGGACTAGTTATGTTGTTTTTACCTTATTACCTATATTCACCCTCACTCCATTATCATATTTGTTAAGGTTAAATATTCTGTTTGGACTAACTATGGTTGTCTTCACTCCAGAATTTATATAATTCATCCTCACTTAACTACTATATTTTCTTGTCCAAGAGTCTAACCCCAAAGATAAAGTGTATCCATCCTTTCTAACCCTTCCTTCAAAATATAAAAAGTTTGAAGCATTAAGGCAAAGAGGAGAAAGTGAGAAAATTGAGAAAGAAACATTGAGAAAGAAAAAAAGTGGATAAAGACGCATTAAAAAAGGAATTTTTAAAAGAAAAAATGAGAAATAAAAAGAAGGAAATATGAAAGCCTGAAGAATAGGGAACCTATTATAAATACTTCACACCACAAGCTAAGTAGGAGATTCATACTGTTGAAACTCCTCAATACACAACTCAATAGTTAAAATGGAAAAATCAATAGAAAAGTCCACACTTTCAATAAAACATATAAATTCCTTAACAACAACGTTTAAACAAAAAGTTTTCAATAGCACTTATAATTGGGAACATGCACTCAATTTGAAACTTTGGTAAAAGTGACTCAACCTTTGGAATAAATTCAATAAAATAAAAGCAAGATTCTTAATCTCATGCATATGCTCAATATCCGAAGTAGTATAAGGAAGACAAAATACGCTCAACTCAACACTAAATTAAGAGTGAGAATCATAAGTCACAAATGATCAATATGCTAGGAAAATGAAATATTACAATTGAGAAGGAAACACTAGGAACATGAGAAGGTGGTTTATGCCAAGAAATAAAAAAAGGTTGGGAAAGAGCATAAAGCAAAGAGAAAGGATCAAGTGGCAAATTAAATAATTAACACCTACTCTATAAAATCTTTAACTCATCTCTTAAGCTATTCTCAAAGTAATCAAATTCCTTGTTAGTAGAAATCCACTTAAGCTCATAAATAGCATCTTTTTATAATCTTAATCCTCAAACATTCTCCAAAAAATGGATTTCATCATTCATTGCTTTCTAATTGATGTCACAACACTCTATATTACTAGGAGACAGCAAGACATTGAGAATCAGAGAAGCTATGTAATCATGTCCTATAAAAGCTGAACATGGCAATACACCAAGGATTGAAGCAGCACTAATTGGATCATGTTATTTGGCACCAAAAGCTTGATCTAAAAAGGATATAACCACAAAAATAACATTTTTGGGTGATAACAACAACATATCATCTATAATCTTGGATGACAAACTCCTAAATCAATAATAGCATGGCATCGTAGAAGAAGAGAATGCAATGAAGATAAAAAAAAAGAATAGATTAGATAGTTACAATCCTAGATCTGAGAAAAAGCTAATGTAGATCTATCTACATTAGCTTTTTCTCAGATCTAGGATTGTAACTATTGTATCCAAAAGTGAAAGAACAAAAAATATGATCTTGAAAATTGAGGAAAACACTATTGAAAAGCTTTGCTCTCTAGGATAAATTGCAATCCCCCTCACTTGCACCAATGTGAGTGCTCAAAATATGGAATAAGTATATCAATTGTGATTTAGACCCCTTGGACAATATAATACTATAATTAGTGGATTATCTATGCAAAGTAAAACATTAATATACATACATATATATTTATAGACCTTACAATACCTAATTCTTACTAAATAATTTAAAATTTGAAAGTGTAGAAGAAAAAGAGTGATTTGTAAGGAAAATAGGCTATCTCAATTGATTTTATTATGCCAAGCATAATGTCAAACTCCCACTCCTTGATAAACCATCTACTATGGGAACTCACTTACAGTAGAGTCATTAGAAGATTGCAACTGTGATTAATTCCTTGGCCTTAGACCAAAAGAGCTTCGTGCATTATATGCATCATACAATACCTCAAGCAGCCAAAAAAGAAATACTTGGGGTTCATCACCCTAGGGGATTTTGATGTTCCAATGTAAATTGCTTAACAATCTAGCTCATGGTCCACAAGTTCTGGGTAGCTAAACTCACACAATTAAATTGTTGTTATGTTGGGGAAGGATCCATCCTTGTTATGATTCGGCATTAAAAGACAAAGATCTAGTCTTCTTAAACTATGCTATGCTTCTCTTTTAAGTTTCTCACCACCTAACCACCCCCAAACTAACTCAAAAGCTCCACTACACCACTACAGGTTAAGTTCGTTACCCTACTGAAGACCTTAATATACCCTTGTGTTATGATCCATTGTGAAAAAACAAAGAACTAATCTCCCTAGACTATGCTATGCCTTTTCTTGAGGTTTTTTACCACCCAACTCCTCAAAAGCTCCATTACGCCACCATTCCATTATGAGCCCTCAGGTAAGTTTAGTTCCTTACTTTAATATGCCTTAATATACCCTTGAGCTTCTTTTTAACTGACATTGACCATGTGGTCAAAGCTCGTGCCTAACAATTCTTCCCCCCTAACAAAGTCCTTGTCCCAAGGACGATGTCCATTTTCTACAGCCATATACATCAAAGAGGCATTATGCCCATCACTCCAGGATAGTATACCTTTCAATTGGCTGATATAAAATACCAAATATATTGGTAGCCGCATCTGATAAGTCACCTTATCAATGCACTCCAATGAGAAAGTTTATCACTCTTCCCATTCCACAAAGGCACTAAAGTGTTCTACCGCTCATTTGACGAAAAGATCATTGGCACAAAAACGATATCACACACCTTATATTCCCGAAATTGGCGATGTTCATTAGCAAACTTCTCCACTCTATCCCTTTATCCTATGGCGATTTACCATAGGATACCACCACGAAGCGGAACCTAAACCCTCTTTGTGCCACGTGACAGATGCCACGTGTCACATACCACGTGTCCATAGGAACCCGAGGTTCAGGGCCTTGGGCCACTGAACGAAGGAACGGTGCCAAACTCCCAAGCGTGACGCCAAGGAGTGATGGAACCGGACCATGGAGCAACTCCCGAGCATATAGCCCAAGGAGCGAAGGGACAGGAGCCCGGAGCGACTTGGAATAGTCCTGGAGCAACCAACATCCCAATGCCAAGACCAGCACGCAAAACGGAGCCAAACAAAGTCTGGCGCTATTTCGGCATACCGGTGGCCTAACACGAGGATATGGGTACTCCACCAGCTAGCATGGAATGGAACTTGGGCTTAGACCCAAGCCGGACGCAAAACAAGGACAGGCACGCAAGCGGGAGCTAGACTATGCCTCAGGTTGGTCGGCCATGCCCGACCTACCCACTATCCCTACTATACATTTGGAACCTCCCATAGCCCCCCCCCCTTGAGGAACACATGCTTTGGGCTTTCACCCCAAGCCTCCCTTAGTATCAGGAGTTAGTCTCAGGGACAAACTCGAAACTTACTAAATATGGAATGTCCTTAGATTGCGAATTTGGACACGGGACGAACACCATTGTGTTCAGGTCGATCTCTACATTCCGTAGATATGCCAAATGAGCAAATCTGGACACTTTCCATAAATAGCATTTGGGACCGAATGAGACTAACACAAAGGGCATGATAGCGAGGGTGTTTGGCAGACACGGTAAGCTATCATCCAGCGATATTGAGGGACTAATCTCAATACGCGTGAGTTCTTGCCAAGCCAGTGCAAGACAGAGCAAAAGAGAACTAAGAGCCAGGCTGAGAATGCTCAGCTAGAAACACATAGGAGTTCCTACCTTATGTTCATCTGGCTAAGTACAGATGCAAAGCCCAGTAAGCTAACACTTGGACAAGAGGGGCTAATAAAGGGAACCAGCAATACCGACCTCCTGCCATCATGGCAGTAAGGTAAGAGTGTCCGTAAGGACTAGCCGACAGGTAACTTTCAATACCCGAAGTCACATTCGCGACACTCTCCCCCCCTTGGGAAAATCGACGTCCTCATCGATGCATACTCGAGTCTAGAATACCGCCAAGGAAACAACTCCAAAAAAAGTTCACGGTACTCACACTATGTGAGAAATGCACCAACTTAAATGAGTTAGGGAGCAACCTCTTTGTCTAACGCGGATGTGCTACCAGCTCAGACACCTTCCGGCCGTCGCCGACAAGGAAATGACCAACGGAGTCAGCCACCCTTGCTGCTCTGAGAGTCACCCAGCTTACAAAAGTGTGATATGCCCTGCCCGCGGGAACATAGAGAGAGAAGCCAGAGGCCCCAACCCTCCTAAGCAAAGAAACCAAACCCGTCGGTAAGGTTTAGATAGACTACTGTAAACAGGCAGTTAGAGTTGTTTACACAGTCACGCCCTTTCAACGGACTAAGGAACATCGACAGAGAGGCGGGTTATGTGACCAGTCGACAGTAGCTACCCCATAACGAGAGATTTCACCATGCACACGAAGTGCCGAAGCCAGTCTGCCTATACTGGCCCAAACTCAAAGATCAATATATGAACTATATCAAAGTCATAAACAATGATATCTTAGAGATTTAATTATCAGTGAATAAAGCTTAAATTAGAACACAAAGTATTCCAAGTAAGTTATCATCCGATAAACCAGTATGAGAGTATAAAAGTCACCAAGATCATCATAATTGGTAAACATAGGAATGACCATCCA